GCTACTTTGCTTATTACTGTAGCCCTCCTGCATCTAATGTATGTTAATTTCCATTCAATATATTTGTTTAAATTCAATATATGTGTTTAATATCGTTTATTATCTGTATAAAAATTATATACACTTGAAATATTGTATCAAGCCATATTATGTTTATGAAAATGTATGATGAAAAAAAGAAAAAAGATGCAGAAACCAATAAATCAAATCAAATCAAATCAAATGAGTGAATTTCCAATTTGTCTTGTGATTTTCATTGTTTCATAGTTTTACAGACTTTTTCAAAAATGTATAAGTTTCTTATTAGATATCCGATTTTTGCTCAAACTTTTTTTGGTTGGTTTGTCTTATTTTTCTGCTTCTATTAAAGTAAGTTATTTTTTGAGTGGACTTGGCCTTTAAGCTACTGATTTTGAAAAATCACCATCCGTGACATATGATTACGGATGCTTTGCCCACGGATGTCCCTGTTATATGTAAATGCGACAAAGTGCAACCTTGTAACCAGGTAATGATTTACAAAGTCCTTGATGAGCTGTAGTACATGATTTCTCCTAAAATCACAGTCATACTGCTCATGCAAGTTGGGAAAAAGACTCCCATGATTGAGACTGTGTATGATTTTAAGACACAGTTGGTCTCTTATATGCTGTCCAATCGTGGGCTTGGTACCCTGTTCTCTCAAGATTCTTTCGGAAGCCATTGCAATGTTCAGTACAGATTTGGAAGGGATGATTAGACCGCCATTGTCTTTCAACCTGATTAGTTGCAAGTAGACTTCTGGAACCTCATCTGTCCTGTCTACTAGTGCCTCCTTGCATTTATCACAGGACTGATTGTGAAAAAAATGGAGGAAAGATCAAATGACAAACTTGGCTTCACTCATAATCCTTACACAGCTTGAGCTTCAATTGAGACTGTTGAGTCCTACTCAGATAATCAATAACCTAACTTTACATGTATATTTACATGTATGTTGACCTCCTATATCATGTCTTTCAAACATTACATTCAGATTGTAATTAATATACATGTCCCTTTTTATGTTTTTAGTGCTGAAGAATGCAGAATAACCTGATATCGAGTTTATTATATAAATGAAATGATTAATGGGGGTGGGGGTTATTTTCGTATAGTGCAACATCCAATAATACAAATTATTTAAAATGGCTGAATACAAATTTTCACCATTTTTTTGGTGGTCCATTTCAGGTAATAGTATTCTTTCATCAATAGTCGACATAAAATACATTTGTTTTGAAAATCCTTGCAGAAATGTGTCTTAAATGACATCCTCTTTCACATTATGATACAATTTAAGTGAAATTTTGTCATCAATTTTTGGGGGCTTCCAACATTTCAGATAGCTTTATAAAAGTTTGTGCTTGTTACAAATTTAACCTTTTATACTTACATGGCATTTTCCTTGTATACTCCTAATAGTGTATCCTGCAATGTAAGCTGTGACATTCTGTTGAAACATGCTGAGTTCTGCAGGGGGAGAAGTGGATGGAGATGTCTGTGCCTCAATGGTCGATATTTCAACCGAGATGACCCCATCAGAGGGCAATTTCCGATCTTCATGGATGTTGGTTCCCATTGCTTCTAGAAAGCATGTAGCATTTCCTGATGTACTCACAGGTATGTTGGAGTTGATTAATAGTGCTCTGTGATGAGTAATTGAAACATTGTATATATTAAGGCATATAATTTCTCTAAAAAGTACGCTGCTATTTCAGTAACAATGAAATGTTAACTTCTCATTGTTTTCTTTTATGTTTACACTAGTGTAATCATGCATAGAATATAAAGTCAAGGGTCACATGTATCTTAAGAGCAATACATTTGTTAAGTGCATTGTTTGTTACCTGTAGGCAGCCTGAAATTGCGTTGATGTTGGATTGTTGTTCCAACCGCCCCTTCCTCGAATCTTAGCAAAGTGAAGTTCAAGTTGATCTTGGCTTAGACGATAGGGAAGGAAGTACCTGTATTAATAGCACAGTTATTATTATTAATTTTTAGTTTATTGTTTGTGTGTGTGTTAATTCTTGCAATATTTAAAATTAAAACCAAAAATTATAGTGTAAATAAATGCGGATTAATTTGATGGAAAAGAAATGAATTTGATTTCTTATTTTTTTCTTCTTCTTGTTAGTTACTGATGACAGAAAAGACCTGTTTCATACATGTACATGGGTTATGTACAAATATATTTGCAATAATTTTATTTAGGGTGAATGTATGAACAAACTTTTTCTTTAGATTTTTTTTAAAAGTACAGGGCAAGTAACTTACAAGAAATGGCCAACTTGTGTTTCATCGATCACAACTTCAAATCCTTTCATTTACCCGTTTCCTCTCATTGTTTGCTTCTATTAAAACCAACTTAACACATGTGTCATGGTGGACTTTCCCTTCAAGGTATTAATTGATAGTTAATACCGGTATGTACTTGATACTTGTGCTTTGTCATATTGATAAAGGATGTCCAACAATCAAATTTCAAGTAGAAAAAAAATGGAAGTCGATCAATAATCCTGTAATACATTCCTCCTGCTTTCATTAGTCTATGGAATATTTTACACAGAATTAAGTAGGTATTTATAATTGACTATAATCTTACTTTATTCCAGATTGAGGATCATTGAAGAACCGGTCTGCCAGAGAGATGAATCCATCCATCGCTAAACAGAAACCTATGACTGGTGTTCCTCTATTGCTTGAGGCAACGGGAGTACCGTCACTTAACTTCAGTGACAGTAGCATCTTCTTTGTCTTATTGAAGTAGGCTTCCCAGGTAGGACAAGTACTTTTGAAGAGAGGTGCTTTGTAACCTTTCTGTAACCTATTCCGCCCATTCAACATGTCAAATAGTCTGTTGAGTGAAATTTTAAAATAACTGATATGAAAGAAACTACTTGTCCCTGGGCAGTGAACAACAAGATACAGGGTCTGAATCCCTGCCACAATGTTAACCACCTTTTTGCTAAACATTAAAGAGAAGGTTGAGTTCTGGGAAGAGGTGAAAAATAATTTGTGAGCGTTATCATTCTTATTATGCAAGTGTGGAAGAACATCAGATAAGACATGTTCCCTGAAAAGCATGGCTCTTCAAATGCCTTCATATTCTAAATATGTCATGTAAATCGTAAAACTCGGGGGGGGGGGGGTAGGTTTTTTACGCCACGTGTTCGTGTAGTCCCATATACATCTTTCTGTGTACAGTGTTTGTAACTTTACCAAGACTTGGCCAATTTCTTATCATTTTGATGATTCCAGAACCTTGCAATACCCACAAATTCTTATATGCTAGATGATCAACCTTTTCTGGTCGATTCCCCACCGTTTCTTTCACAATGCAATCGCATGACCAGAACTCAACTTCATCTTTAAGCTGCACTTTCCTCACTAGACTTAAATGGTTTAGTTTTATTCCTTGAAATGCTTGAGCCCTGTAATAACAGCCATACATGTACTGAATCCCCTGTCATAACAATGGAGCACAAGTTTATTCAAGTGGGACAGACCTGAGCACTAGACAAAAACCCACTAGTATTATTGCTATTAGACTAAATCAGATTGAAGCAATTAATAACTAATTAACTAATTAAAACATGTAAAGGTGATCATTCATGTTTAGATTCAACACTAAATTGCATTATATACTGTTAATACAAAAAAGATATATGGACAAAATTTGTAAAGGGCTAAATTATGTCTTTATGTATAAAGTAGTTTTTAACTTTTTGTACTCTCTACACTAATCTTATTCACCTGTCTATCTGTCGTAGGAAATAGGCACTGCTTTCCGAATCTTCAAATCCTTCAAAGTGCAGTTGCCTTAAGATGTCAACTGTAGCAGCTACTGAGCTACTAAAAACCTGGGCTGCATATTTAACCTGCATGAAATTATGCATACCGGTAAGTAGTTAAAGTGGATAAACAAAGAATATAAGGTTTCATCAAGAAATCATGAATAAAAAATTATCTATGTACAAGTGCCAATATTAGTGCTTTGATTGAAAAAAGGAAGAATGCATAGAACATCATGCGTTACGTGCAAAGGTAGTCTTACCAGAATTTAAATGGGATCACATGTAGATAATGACATGTGCCTGTAAGTCCTGTATACATCAGAATATCATTTAGTTCAAATTTTTAGAGGTGATCTAAATTATATTAATGCTATGTATATTTACTATGTGAAAGATCGTTCTTATCAAAATGTACCCAACCTGCCAAAAGGTATTTAACAAAATCAATAGCCTGTAAAGACTATATGAATGATCACTACCTTCATTTTTGCTTTTGAGTAGTCAATGTGGTCTCCTGTTAGCCTATTTGCAGCCCTCATTCCTTCACGCTGCTGGATTTCATAGGAGTTCTTGATATGCTTCCACTTGACCTGTAACGGAGACAAATCATTATTGTGTTTTCATCAATGTAATAGAGCGATTATTAAAAAATGAATTGTATAGATTTGTCAAGTACTATAAACAGGTGTAGGGATATTTCCTTTGTTATATTAAAATTGATCTTTATGCAGTATGTGTATATCTATGTCTACACCGTGGGAATTATACAAAACGATGAACATGAAATGTTTATTCAGATTTGATAGAAATCATGAAAATAAGTTTTTTTTTTTTTTTTTAATTATCATCCATATACTTCAGAAATTTTGGAGAAGGGTTCACAAAAATTTGATACTTTTGAACTTGAAGGACTGTAACTGTTTTCATAGTAACAAGTTTAATTTGGTCCTTATTATATTAAATACTTCATACACCTTATTCTACCATTAACAAATATTAATATTTATATTCTGTTTTTACACTAGAGAGATTTTAAAAAAATCACATACCTTTTCTGTACCATTGAATGTTAACTCTTGTTTGTCTCCAAGAAGATTCCTGAGCAATTTCAGGTTAAGGCAAACGTCGGGGATGTAGGTAATCGGGTGTCCATTTGATGGATGGGGAAAGTCTCCTCTTAGATTATTAGGATCCAGATTTGCTCCCAACATGCTCATAGTAGACTTGTTCACAGCTGCACCATCACAAACAATGGCATCGATTTGGATGCCTTTCTCGTGAAGAAGTTGTAGGCACTCCTTAATCAGGCTAGCCTGAAAAGGGGCCGACAATTTCTTCACAAGAAAATATCCAACTGTTAGTTTGATATGCATATTCATCGCAACCACCATAAACGCTAATGCCTGTGTTGCCGGCTCTGGCAATTCCCCTTTCGATTTGGAATTGCCAATATTGGTAAATCCGGTATTACAATCGCGGTTCTTGTCATATGCTACCTGCCTTTTGATAGACATTGCATCTATCATAAGGGTCCAATGTAATTGAGTAGGAGAGTTGTCTTTAATGTACTTTAATGTTTCTATTGATTCTGTAGTGAATCCTGGGTTCCCATCTACGGATGCTAACATCTTTCGAAGTGTCACCTCGGATGGCAGTGCAAATATAGTTCTTAGAAATTTGTAGCAGCGGGGTGACATGTAATGTAATGTTAAAGAGAGGTTGAGTAGTTCTTGGCTGTATCTTCTGGCAGAAATTTTGTCACTATTCACATTTTGATTCGACAGTATGACATATGCGTTTCCATGGACAGAGTCGAATGTAGATTGGATGGCTTCATCCTCCATCCCATGGTCTTGCATTGTTGATTTCAGATCCTAGCGATGAAATATGGAAAAGAATATATTTGAATTCTGAAACCACACTTGCCTTTCATTCAGATGAGAAAGAAAAAAAACTGTGTCTTATGTGAATAAGTCTTGGCGGAGTTTATCAATAGATGTGAATCTTGGATTATACATGTATATGTTCCTTGTTAAGATACAGAATTACCCTTCTATGAAGAATGAGCTGTAAAATTATCAACATTTCCAAGATTTCTTTATAAATTGAAATATTTTGGTTCCATGATGTGAGCTAGTTCAATGATTTCAGATAATTGTTTATCATTCCCTTACATACCATGCCTCTGGACTTACATAATTTACTTACTTTTAAAGATTGAATCTTGATAGATTTCTTGATGTTATCCATCTGTGCCTTGCGCTTTTTTATCTTCTCTATCCCTAGGGCTCTTTCCAGCTTGCGTTTGGTTGTGCCAGGACTCACTGTGTAGCTGTGGTCATGCAAGTTACCAGGTGTAGGAAGTGGTACAGGTGTCCTCTCATGGTAGAATGGAATAGGATTTGAAACTGGCATCTAAATTGTTTAAGGGATTGAAATATTTAAATGTATTTACATAAAAATGCAAAGGCTCTTCATAATTCTGAACTGGGCAAGTTTAATAATTTTCATTGATGAAATAATAATAATATTGATAATAATAATAAATATAGTGAACATTTATAATGCACCGTGTCTGTCAAAATTGACACTCCTGGTGCGTTTGTGTGAAGATTGTTTAATTGCGGTCCTACTACTATCAATTAATTTAAAGTAAAATACACATACGTTTAAGTTTAACCTACTTCAGGACATAATTTAGCAATAATATAATTACAATATTCCTATTAACCCTGATCCTGAACTTTTTTATTTATTTTTTTTTTATTTTAGTTGATTACAATACCGTAATGTATTTTTAGTTATACACTGTGTAACCACAAAACAACAAATATAAGTGAAAATTTCACTCTTGCGTGAAAATTTATCTTATTTTAAGGTAATTTTGTATAATGTTTCATTTATAAATCTATGTATCTTTTTGATTATGCTTATTGAAGAAATTTAAAATAAAATAATAATTGTTATGGGTTTTATTTAACTTGAGTTACGGTTTTTGATAATAACTGCTTGTTAATAAGCCACTGCTCTCTTAATTAGAGAGAAGGGAAACCCTTGTGGATAGGTACTTACGGGTAAAAATTACTTAAAGATATTGCAATTACTTATTTGATAAAAAAGTAACTCACATCTAATGAAGGTATAGCTGAAGGTAGCAGACATCTCCTCTTCACAGTTTGTGAATAGTTGTCAGGTCCAAAGTGCATCGAGCAAACATATGTTCTTGTTATTGGATCTTCAGTTCCTCCAAGAGCCTTCAACCATTCTTTGCGAATGCTAGGTTTTGTTGGCAGTCTTGGAAAAAGAAAGATCATTTCATAAGAGCTTTGGATCCCATTTAAAGCTTGATTCTGAGTTTATTGATATATAATCATTTCTGTGTATTTTGTGAAAATGAATACATTTCACCACTCCTGCCATGTCAAAAATTTAGCATTTACTCCTTTCCACATTTTAACAAGTTCTGAAAAATAGTCAAATTTGATGGTTCCCTTTACCTTTACATGGCTTTGGTAGGAGGGGGGTGAGTTTACATGTGTTTCCAACTGATAGACACATTGCTAATTGGTATTACTACAGATTTTTGTTGTATGCACCTGATGTTTGTACACTAAATTTACACAAATTTGTCATTCCTTATTTGTCCTAAGATTCATAAAACAATGCAACCCCCTCCCTGTCCCATTGCCAACATGGGCACAAAAGGACATTACCTATATTAATTGTACATTTAAGAAGTTCTCAACATTTTTTTAGTGACCTTGTATGTTTATCCAGCGATGATATTATTAATTTAAGAAATCGTACCTTTTTTTAGTAAACTTGTATGTTTAACCCCCCCCCCCCCAAGCGATGTGATTGTATCCATGACTGAAATTATTTTGTTCCCTCAAAAAGTTATCAGATTGTCAACTTTGCTTGTACAATGTTTTTTTCAGTAATCAGTAGTTTATTTTCTTTATGACGTTCAGCTTTGCACAAATAGAAATAATAATAATAATAATACTGGCTCCTTGTATAGCACACAGGTCCACCTTTCGGTGCTCATTTGATTAATTTATAAAAAATACATACGTGTATATGCATGAATACTGGATTGGTGACTGAAGTTTGTAGTATATTGTACTTGTATTAACTTATTGTTGACTTTGTCAATTTTAATTAATTACAGTACCGGTAATCAGTGACGTTTTGATTTTTTTTTTTTTTTTACCTTTGCATGAAATAAATTATTTTTTTAAATAACTGAATTTTGTAGTTTTGTACACTTTTGTTCACACTCATTATCTTACATGTTCATTGTCCTGGATGCCAGTTAAGAGGGCCTTGTGTTTGTTAATCATGCTCTTAAGAGAATTCTTGAATCAGAAGCCGCAACCCCCCCCCCCCCCCCCAAAAAAAAGGGGGGGAAGCCTTCAAACAAAATGAGTCTCGTATTTTCCAACCTTGCTTCTGCACTTGCTCCAAGTGAAAAAAACACACACAGGCTCCCAGGTTCATACCATGTTCCATTAGTGTACTGTGATGACCTTCATTTTTTTAAAGGATGGGTCAAAATCTATCATGATGAAAATGAGGATTGTAGTAATAAAATAATTTAAGTAATTAAAAATGTATCAAATATAATTGACATACCCCTGGCCCCCCATAGAAGTTGTTTTTAAGAGAAAGAGAAGAGAAGAGGACTGGTAAACAGAATTTTGTTGGAACTTGTAACCCCCCCCCCCCCCAACTCGGACACACACACACACACACACACACACGCAGCATCGCCTACTACCACTTTTTCATAACTTACCGATGGAGTCTCAAATCCTCTTGAGTCCTATTTTTTGACCAACATCCCTTCACTGAACATCTTGGAGGCATTGTGGCCGAAAAAGCTCGATCGGTTGGAAATTAGAAGACAAATAGACTAAAAATATGAGGATGCCAATCAATTATTAGTCGGCACGAAGAAATCGATCAGCTGATGGCCAGCTGGAAGAGTTGTCATAGCAACACAAATCCATTTGGATTTAATGGATGATCAAGATATTTGCTATTTTCATTTATTATAGGTACTCATGGTTTAAAAAAAAAAATGGAAATTTAAAACTTAACATTTGCATTACAATTGAGAGTCGTAAGTACCACATATTTGGGAAATATCTCCCCCCCCCAAAAAAAAAAAAAAACAGGAGGGGGTGTGGCCTCTGAGGATTCGGCTAGCCGACACTTGCAGACAGAATCAGAAAGCTGCACCTCCTCGACAGTCCTCGACTATCATTTGAAGACAAATAGCCGTCACCTTGATATTAATATTTCAATGCAATAGGGTTTATCGATGTATGCAAATGAATTAGTGCTTTGGTTAATTTTGTGGCCTGATTTAATGAAATTCTTGTGATTTTCGTGCCTTTTTTCTCGTCTTTTTTTTACGATCATTTAATTTTTGACGGTCATACAATATCGAATAAAAATAACAGCGCGTATATTAACGCATCAGAATAATCCACGTGATTCGCTGAATCACTTGCGTTGCTAGCGCGCAGCGTGATGAATAAATTACCCATAATTCCGTACAGTAGATTATTTGACCTCTCTTATTACGCTGATACGCGCATTGTCTTTTACCATGTAGTGAACATCATTCCAGTTCACTTTTCGCGGGGAGCATCCTACAGAATGCATAATTCATAAGGCTCATGAATTATGCAAGGTAGCTTATTTGGGCTTCTAATGGATCCGGACAAAATGGCGGAGCTTGGGGGGCCTGGGTGAACAAGTTATCAAAATGCTTGGAAAAATGTGCCAAATACGATGAAAGAAAAAAAATGGCGATTCTATGTTGCAAAATGCTAATACGTGCAAAAAACGCGCGCGCATGCGCGTTTGCATCATTTTTTGTCAAATGCTCCATATGGCCTGAAACGTATGCAAAAACATTTTGGGATGATTTGGAGCATTTTAATTTTTTTCGCGCGCGTAAACGCGCAGACGAACGCGCACGCGCGCATTTGCGCACGTTTATTGATATGAAATTGACCGGACGGATATTGATCTTAATCATGATAAATATGAATGTAAAATTACTTACTGTTATGAAGATATGATCATGAGTTGATTTTTACAAAATGGCGCCTGGATGACGTCACGATGACTTTGAGTCTTTGAAAAGTTACGCAGTTCTAAGTTAGACTAAGATCTATCATCATTGAAAGTTTCATGACAATGGCTTTATTCAGTCTTGAGATATCCTGCGAACAAATTCGAGGAAGAATAATAAATAATAAACTAGATTTGTAATACTTGTTTGGAACAAGTATAGGTGGGCTGGTTGAACTAAAATTTGAGACAAAATAAAGGGTACATTTTAGATAGTTCATTGTCTCAGCTACAATATACTCGAAGTTCAGCGTAAACCAAGCTAAAACGACAGAGATATTGCTCGCGAAAGACGGGAATGTAGAATCCAGTTTTGAGAAAAACTTATGTCCCATAGAGAATACACGCAAAATGTGAAAAATTGACATGCCTCTTTTAATCGCAAAAATACGCCATGATGCCTTTGTAAAAATAAAGGATAACAGTAACTTTGTAGAAAATTGTCTCAGCTAGAACATATCAAAATTTGGAAGAAAATCGATCAATATTTACAGAGATACAATCAATTTTCCATAAATATGCTGACGTCATAATATGCAAACTGGAATTTTGAGTTCGGAGGCCATAATGATGACGTCATGAGTTAATTGAGGGTCAAATGAGACATAAAATCATATCTCCAATTCATATTCTATCAAAATATGAAAAAAAATTGAGGTTACCTTGCATCCTAAAGAGCTACAATGGATTTTGTATAGGCATGTTTTTGCCCATATATGCTATGTATTACAAGAGCTCGCGCGCACGGAAATTTTTGTTAAACGGTCGATCATTCCGTTATTAATAGTCATAAAGAGACAAACATGGTATCAATTTGTTTGTAAGTATATGTGAAATATTATGAAAGAAAAAAAAAGGCAATTCTATGTTGTGCAATAGTTTTACGCGCGAAAACGCGCGCGCATGCGCGTGTGCGCGATTTTTTTATAAAATGCTTAGAATGGCCTAAAACGTATGCAAAATGATTTTGAGACGATTTTGAGCATTTCAAAATTTTGCGCGAGCATTGACGCGCGGACGTACGCGCACGCGCGCGTTATTTGACCTCAAATTGACCGGACGGATATTGACCTTGATCATGATAAATATGAATGAGAAATACCTTTTGGTTATGAAGATATGATCATGAGTTGATTTTCGTAAAATTTTACAAAATGGCGCCTAGATGACGTCATCAGTAAAGGTCAATGTTGAAAACCTTATTGTGCTTTGTACATATGCCTATACATATGTGTGCCAAATTTCAAGGCATTTGATGGAGCCATTTCCAAGTTATCTTGCCAACAAAAAAGTGGTTAGAAATAAGAAAAATATATAATAATAAATAAATAAATAAATAAAGGCAATTCTAACGAAATTATAAGGTGGTCTGTACGTTATACAGCCCACCTGATAAATAAATAAATAAATAAAGGCAATTCTAACGAAATTATAAGGTGGTCTGTACGTTATACAGCCCACCTGATTAGGGTGACCTTGCATCCTAAAGAGCTACAATGGATTTTGTGTAGGCATGTTTTTGTCCATATATTCTATGTAATACAAGAGCTCGCACGCACAGAAATTTATGTTAAAAGGTCAATCATTCCGTTATTAATAGTCATAAAGAGACAAACATGGTATTAAATTGTTTGTAAAAATATGTGGAATATTATGAAAGAAAAAAATTGCGATTCTATGTTGTGTAATAGTTTTACGCGCGAAAACGCGCGCGCATGCGCGTGTGCGCGATTTTTTATAAAATGCTTAGAATGGCCTAAAACGTATGCAAAATGATTTTGAGACGATTTTGAGCATTTTAATATTTTGCGCGCGTATTGACGCGCGGAGGTACGCGCACGCGCGCGTTTTTTGACCTGCAATTGACCGGACGGATATTGACCTTGATCATGATAAATATGAATATGAAATAACCTTTGGTTATGAAGATATGGTCATGAGTTGATTTTCGTAAAATTTTACAAAATGGCGCCTAGATGACGTCATCAGTGAAGGTCAATATTGAAAACGTTATTGTGCTTTGTACATATGCTTATACATATGTATGCCAAATTTCAAGGCATTTGATTGAGCCATTTCCAAGTTATCTTGCCAACAAAAAAGTGGTTAGAAATAAGAAAAATATATAATAAATAATAAATAATAAATAAAGGCAATTCTAACGAAATTATAAGGTGGTCTGTACGTTATACAGCCCACCTGATAAATAAATAAATAATAAAAATCTTGACGAAATCAAAAG